TGTTGTGCGGTTGTTAACCAATGTCATAAAACAATATGTGTACTACTGTTTCATGAGAAACTATTTGTTCTGTAAGCCTTCACCTGAAGTACAATCAAAAAAATAAAAAAAAGCGGTTGTCAGATTGGATAAAACTATATGCTGTCTACAATAAACCCACTTTAAATATAAAAACATATATTAAAAAAAAAAAAAAACCCGTTGCCGCTGAGTTGATTCCGAGTAAGTTAAAAATCATAAAAGGATGGAAAAAGACATACCACGTACACACTAACCAAAAGTGACTCTATTAATACCATAAAAGTACAGTTTAAAACAGAAAATGTTTACTATTTATAGGTTTAGACAAAGTAATCAGCTTTTTTTGTCAAGACTAAGTTTGAAAAGAAAAGTAGCTGAGAATGACTGCTGTGAGATGTGGAATCCTCTTGCAGTAAACAGTGTGGCCTTTGGTCCTGCTTATTGTTACTTGCCATCAAGTGATTTCCAACTCATGGAGTGTTGCCGGGGACAAAGAGCGACGTTACATAGTGATAAAAGATCACCTCCCCAAAAAGTCATGGCAATCCCAAATGTGGGTGCATCTAACAACAGAACTTCCAAGTATGTAAAGCAAAAACTCACAGAATTGAAAGGGGAAATAGGTAAATCCACTCGTAAGAGTTGGAAACTTCAGTATTCTATTAGTAATTGACAGAAAAAGTTGACATAAAATCAGTGAGAACATAAAATACATACAGACAGACACACACACACACACACACATACATACATACATACATACACACTCCATCACCCAACTTGATCCAATGGATATTTTTAGTTTACCCAATAACAGCAGAATACACATTCTTTTCAAGCGTGCATGAGACATTTACCAAGATAGACCATATTCTGGGCTATAAAACAAATCTTAATATAGTTGAAAGAACTGATGTCATACAAAATATTCTGTCTGAACATAAAAGGACTAAAGTAGAAGTGAATAGTATTTGGAAATTATTACCCAGGAAGTTTCCACCGAGCCTCATTTTCCATTTTATCGGCCTTATCACACGGCCATGATAGATTTCTTCATGCCTCCTGAGGCTTAGCCGGCATTGGGTTCCCAGGTGGTCCCTCTTGGTCTGCTCAGCCCCTACTCATTGGCCTCGGGTGTGGTCTGGCTCTGAGGAAACCGGACCAAAGGCCAAATTGTTTATTGCAGAGGCGTTCACAACTCACAGTAATCATTCTTAGCTAAAATATTTTCCTTTTAAAATGTAGTCTTGATTTAACACACTGATTATTTTAACTATAGCCCTAAGTAGTAAAACGTTAACATACAGAACCCAACTAAGCGTAATCTTCATTAGGTAAATCAGATACCATGAAAGATTACTACTAACTAAAGGAAACTGTAATCGTGATATTGTGAGTCCACTTATGGCGTAATTCTGCTCATCATCCAGTAGCACTTAAAACAAGAAATTCTAACAAAAGCCTTATAAAGAGGTACCTGGAATTGACGGTTTCGTCTACCAGTGTTCCTCCTGGATAAGATAACTCCAGTCCTCATCTTCAGGGCGCACATAGCACCATACTTTCATCTGATACCTTTATTCTTTTTTTTTTTTTTTTTAATATTTTATTGTACTTCAGGTGAAGGCTTACAGAACAGATAGTTTCTCATGTAACAGTAACACACATGCTGTTTTATGACATTGGTTGACAACCCCACAACATTTTAACCCTCTAAATTCTCAACTTTTTTTTTTTGGTGAAAATACACATAGCCAAAGATACGCCATTTCAACAATTTTTTTTACATACACATTTAAGTGACATTGACTACGCTCTTCTAATTGTGCTGTTATTCTCACTTAAGATGAAGGCTTACAGGACAAAATAGTCTCCCATTTAACAGTTACTACAAATGTTGCCCTATGACAATGGTTAACAATCTCACACCACATCAACAATATCCTTACTCTACTTTGTGTTCCCTATCATCAGCTTCCTACTCCCCTTCTGCCTTCTGGGCCTTGTCACTGGACTCCTGTACCTCGTTACTCTCATGGTTTTACTGGGCTGTCCACTCGCAGGCTGATCAATGAACCTCGAAGGTAACTTTACCACTGAGCTAAAAGGGTGTCTGGGGGCCATACTCTCGGGGTTTCTCCAGTCTCCTTTAGGCCAGTAAATCTGGTCTTTTTTTTTTTTTTGTGAGTTAGAATTATGCTCTACATCCTTCTCCAGCTCTGTCCAGAACCCTCTGTTGTGATCCTGGTCAGAGCAGTCAGTGGTGGTAGCCGGGCACTATCTAGCTGTACTGGACTCAGTCTGGTGAAGGTCTTGGTAGCTGTGGACAATTAGTCCTTTGGACTAATCTTTTCGTTGTATCCTGTTCTCTTCATTCTCCCTTGCTCCCGAAGAGATGAGACCAGTGGAGTATCTTAGATGACCACTCACAGTCTTTTAAGACCCCAGACACTACTCACCAAGGTAGAAAGTAGAGCATTATCTTTATAAGTAGTGTCATGCCAATTGAGCGAGATGTTCCCCGAGACCATGGTCCCCAGAGCCCTCCGTCCAGCAACTCAGTCCCTCGGGGAGTTTGGATGTGTCCATGGGGCCTCCATGACCTTTCCTTGTACAGGTTGTGTTAGTTTCCCCTGTATTGTGTACTGTCTCACCCTTCACCCAAGATACCACTTGTCTATTGCCTATTTAATATTCCCCCCACCCCTCCCATCCCTGGTAACCAACAAGAATTGTTACATTTTGTGTGTGAACTTTTTCATGGGTTTTTACAATAGAGGTCTCATACAATATTTGTCCTTTTGTGATTGACTTATTTCACTCAGCATAATGTCCTCCAGTTTCATCCATGTTATGCGATGGTTCACTGATTCATTATTGTTCTTTCTCGTTGCATAGTACTCCATTGTGTGTATGTACCATAGTTTGTTTATCCATTCATCTGTTGATGGGCACCTACGTTGTTTCCATCGTTTTGCTATTGTAAACAATGCTGCCATGAACATAGGTGTGCATATGTCTATTAGAGTGATGACTCTTATTTCTCTAGGATATATTCCTAGGAGTGGGATTGCTGGATCGAATGGTATGTCTATTTCTAGCTTTCTGAGGAAACGCCATATCATTTTCCAAAATGGTTGTATCATTTTGCACTCCCACCAGCAGTGCATAAGAGTTCCCATCTCCCCGCAGCCCCTCCAACATTTGTTATTTCCAGTGTTTTTGATTCGTGCCAGTAATGCCAGGGTGAGATGGCTGATACCTTTATTCTTATTTGTTACAAGTGTTGTTGTTGTTGTTAGGTGTTAGAAGTAATACTGGCAAAAATCAATTTTGTTTCTCTGGGATTTGAGGATTCTGAGATATTAGCTGTGGAAGCTGGAAGGAGAAGTGTTCACCCAGGGACATGGTTTTCTCCAGGTGTGACATAGTAGTGATACTCTTCTAGATCTATGAGATCCAAGCCCTTACACTCAAGTCCATGCCACTTGTACAAGAGTGGAGCATGGCTCTGCTACCCCACCCTGTAGGCTGGAGTTGAAGCCCAAAGTGACCAGCCACCAGCATGAAAATGGTTTTGAACTCTTTTATTCTATCTAAACATTTTATATAAATTTTACATTCCATTCCATTATGTCAGTGTTTGATTTAACATAGATTTTTTTCCTCTAAATCTACTGTTGTCTCTTCAGATTTTCAGTGTCTGTTTCCATTTTCATTGCCTGTTTCATTTTGTTTAGAGAGGCAAAGTACCTTGCCAAAGGTCACACGGCTGGTTCCAGGTTTAGAACTCAGGTAGTCCGATGACCTAGTCTATGCTTTTACTAATTCCACTGTTCACTACTGTACTCCTAATGCCTAGGACAGTGCCCGGCAGGTACTCAGTAAACATGTGTTGAATGATTTATACTGGAGAGGACTGACATCCTATGCCAGGAACCCTAAGTCAGGGCCAAGCATGGGTTCTGGAGAGGTAGCAGAATCCAGGCCCCCAGGTGCTCTGCATACACCAGAAGAACTGGCCTCTCCCTTTCTCCTGTGTATCTTCTGCACCTTGCAGTGCCATCCCTCTGGCTAACTAGTAATCACTGCGTTGAGCTCAGTTCCTTGTTCACAAAGGTTGAACAAGTTGTTGTTCAAATGGTGGTTGTTATTGCAACACGTACAGGTTGTTAAATGTGACTGAGTGAGTAGTGGTGTTATAGAAGTTGGCCTGAATCTCAAGCCAGAGTATACCATGGCGGGACTTCTCACATCTGCCTTTCCCAGGGCCGAGACCTGAATCTGAGTGAGAACCAAGGTCACAGGTGGAGCTAAGGGGGTGTTCCTGCCTCTAGGGTCATTGCTGAGGGAGGCAGTCAGTGCTTAGAGCCACTGTGCTGCCCTTGGGTCTCTCGTGCTGCCTGGGGAAGCCCTGGGCCCACAGGAGTACTCAAGACGACTCTCAGACCCCAGCAAAAATGGAGGTGCCACAAGCTTTCCTAGCCTAGACACAGAAAGCATGGTGGTCCAGGGCCTGTAAGACAAGGAAGGAGCCCTAATTGAGGTGGAAGGACAAGCTTTGTTTTGCCTATGTTAATTTTCTAGGTTTAGTTGGTCATCAAGTAGAAATCATCCCTAAAATCTGGAAATAGAAATCTGGAGAGAGGGAAGGTGGGGCTGAGGATACAAATCTGGGCACTATTCTCCACAATTCAGTCATCCCCTCTCCCTCCTACCTGGAACAGTCCACATATGCACTTGAAACATTCTTGATACTGCTGCAGGTGAGGTCTGTATCCTAAACAGGATGGATACATTTTAGTCACCTTTACGTAGAAGTTCCACACCCCTTCATATTATCTGTTTTCACCATCCATTGATTCCGTTTAATTAATTTTATATGTTGTATTCTTTATTTCAGAAAAATTGTACAACTCCAGTGGACGAGATTTAAGAAGGGCCCTTTTCTCTCTGAAGCAGATATTTCAGGTAAAAAGAAAAAAAAGAATACCTTAGACCCTGTTTTTGCATTACTTAATGAAATTAGATATAGACAAGTTTATTATACCTTTTACTCATTACAAAGAGAAACATCTCTTTACCATGTAAATTAGGTCAGAATATCAGTTGAGTAATTTTTACCATATCAAATATTTCAAACATAATAAAAAGTAAAGATAACTTTATCAAATCCTAACATTTTCCATATTTGTTTCAGATTTAAAAAAAAAAAATCTTATAGATATAATTAAAGTCCTGCGTTCCGTTCTGCAATATCAATCACCCTATTTGCCTCACCCTCATCCCTTGGCCCCCCTCTCCTGAATGCTGAATTTGGTGTTTATCACGCATATGCATGTTTCCATACTAATGGTAAATATTCACCAACAATACATGATATTGTTTGACATTAACTTTATTTCTGTGTTTTTATGTTACTTACTGAGAGTGGAACAGATGTAGCCTTGACCAATGTAGTACTGATCAAGCATTCCATTATATGAATAAACAACAAGTTGTTTTATTCATTGTCCTTTTGGCAGACAATTTGGCTGATTTCCAGTGTTTTGCTATCATAAACTGTGCTGCCGTGGTCACGTGCCCCTGTGCACACATGGAAGTCTCTCTTTGGGCCTCTGCCTTATCTGTCTCTCCTAAGCTTTCTCTCCATCCTTACCCTGAGAAAGTCAGAGGCCTAGTGAAAGGGCTAGAACAAGTGTGCAGCCAAGCTCCAAGATTGTCACCCATGTGAGACCTCAGAGCAGAAAGACAAAGAGCTAGGGGCAGGGGGAGGAAGAGGCCACTGTGCTTGGGCAGGCTTGGGAGATGGATTCTTGGAGAACATGACATTTGCATGAGTTTGTGTCTGTCTAGGGTCACTGTTCCTTTCTGTTATGATTTTGGACTCTAGGCTATATTCCCTTTCTCCTTAGTTCCTGTCTTACCCACATCCTTAAAAGATTTGCTTTGTTGGTGGTGGTAGTTGTAGCCAGAGTGGCAGTCCCTTTTATGGGTTTCTGCCTGTCTGAGGGGCAGTGAGCAAAAACACAGATCAAAAACCATCCCATCTGCATGTTCTCATCGCATTCTTCGTTAAACTTGCTCAGTGATACCCTCATCTTTTTCACAGGGCAGATTCCCTTCTCAGTGCTCCCATTGCTGGAGATGAATCCTTTCTTTCTCTTCTGACAGCTCCAGGTTTGAATCTGGCTGTCATCGCTCCCTCGTGGTGCAATCTCAGAAATGCCTTGGGGTTATTGAATGGGAATCTAATTTGCTCGTACTTTCACAGTAAAAAAAAGGAATGCTGTTTAAAGTGTTTACAATAATGCCTCAATAAATATTAGTTGATTAAAAAAAAGAAAGAAATGCCTTGGGATTTGGAGCTCTTCTGTAATTCAGGCCATTTCTTTTCTCACCTGGAAAATTACAGCAGCTGTCCGTGAGCAATGCCTGAGTTTAGTCCTCCCCATCACAGTCCATTCTTCAGCTTCCCACCAGAGGGATTTGAGGAAGTCATTTTCTTGCTGGTTCCATGTTACCTTCTGGGTTACATCTGAATTTCTCGGTATAGCATTGAAGCCCTTCTTGACCTGGCCTCTGCTGGCTACCTCTCTGTCCTTGGTGACATCCTAAGTTCCACCTGTGATTGAATTCCAAGAGAATCCATGCCCACTCTTTTCTGTACTGTTGACTCTGGACCTGTACTTCTTCCCCAGAATGCATTGCCACCCCATATCCACTCTCCATGTCTCCCAGTTTTGATCTTAGTATCTCATACTCCTGCCAGGAATCCTCTTCCTAAATGATCCCCTTCACCCCGGTCAGGGTTCTCCAAATGCCCCTAAAATACCCTGTGCTTACCTCTAGCATAGAACTTAAGATACTACAGGGCATTTGTCCAAGTCCAGTAGTCTGCGAGCTCTCTAGATTTTGTTACTGGATCTTCGGTGCCCAGCAGAGTGTCTGGTACCGCTAAATGATGAATGAATGGACTGGATGAATTGAGTAGTCTTCTAACAGATATCAAAGTTTTCAGTCCTTCCTGCCTCTAATTTAGTGAATGCAATGCTGGCTAAATAATTGCTCGAGTGTTCCATTGCCAGTGTATCCATCTGTGTCTCCCCTTACTCAGCAGAACAAAACAAAACTTTCCCCCCTTCCATTACATCCTCCTCCTAACTCAGGACCTTGACCACTGTTGGGCTGGACTCTTACTGTGCCACCAGAGGGTCATGCTCATGACACTCCTCACCCTAACTCATTTTAGTTCCTCAGTCCATCTGTTGTCTCCGTTGTAAGCTTTGGTTCTTTCAAAATCTGTGTTCACCTAATTGAGTCTCCAAATGGTGGCAGAACCACAAGACAGGAGCTATTCCAAGTGACTTTAAACTACTGTAATTTGTGCACCCTTAGTAGGATACTAACTAAGTAGGACGAACACAGCATCAGCATTGGAGGAAGACTCATTAGCAACCTGTATTACGCAGATGACACAGCCTTGCTTGCTGAAAGTGAAGAGGACTTGAAGCATGTACTGACGAAGCTCAAAGACCTCAGCCTTCCGTATGGATTACACCTCAACATAAAGAAAACAAAAATCCTCACAACTGAACCAAAAAGCAACATCATGATAAACAGAGAAAAGATTGAAGTTGTCAAAGATTTCATTTTACTTGGATCCACAGTCAGTGCCCATGGAAGGAGCGGTCAAGAAATCAAACAATGAAGTGCATTGGGCAGATCTGCTGCAAAAGAACTCTTTAAAGTGTTAAAAAGCAAAGATGTCACTTTAAGGACTAAGGTGTGCCAAGCCATGGTGTTTTCAATCACCTCCTATGCATGCGAAAGCTGGGCAATGAATAAGGAAGACCAAAAAAGAATCGATGCCTTTCAGTTATGGTGTTAGCAAAGAATATTGAATATACCATGGACTACCAAAAGAATGAGCAAATCTATCATAGAAGAAGTACAGGCAGAGTGCTCATTAGAAGCAAGGATGGTGAGACTTCATCTCACATACTTCAGACATGTTATCAGGAGGGGCCAGTCTCTGGAGAAGGACATCATGCTTAGTAAAGTAGAAGGTCAGCAGAAAAGAGGAAAACCCTTAATGAGGTGGATTGAAACAGTGGCTGCAACAATGGGCTCAAGAGTAACGATTGTGAGGATGGTGCAGGACCGGGCAGGGTTTCATTCTGTTGTACATAGGGTCGCTATGAGTCAGAACCAACTCGATGGCCCCTGACAGCAACAGGTAGCACGTACCCAAAGAACAACAACAACAAAAATTGTCAGTGGCTTACAGTCATTGTGGTAAAATGAGTTTCTTTATGTGGCCTTTTGCCTTGGTTCTGTGAAAAAGAGAGAGAGGAAAAAAAAAAAAAAGCTTGGGAGATTTTTCCACGGGCCCTGAGAAATTGTTATAGTTGCCCTTGTTACAGTTAGGAAGAAGCCAGTCCCTTCCGGCAGAAAATGTCACTTATTATGTAAATAGATGGAGAAACTTGTGAGGGGATTGACCAGTTTAGTCCAGAGAGGGGATTGATCAGTTACTGTGCAAATAAGGTATATAAAATCCACCCAATAGGATTAAGCCACTTGGCCTATATAAGGAGCCAACTCCACAGAGATAGTTGAGAGGCAAGGAGAAGAGGCAAAGACAGAAGAGAAGAGAGATGAAACAGAGAGAGAGAGAGCTGAGCGAACTTCGGGCTGAAGGCTTCCCAGTGGAGCTAAAAGTGCTGTAATATGGTTAAGGGCTGTAAAACTAAAAACAGTCAGAAGCCTGAGGGAGAGAGAGAGCTGTTCTACACTGAAGAGGGAAGACTTCCAGGTCTTGCCTGTGTGCTTCCAGACGTTGATCCTGTTCCTGTTCCTTCCAGTTAATCCTGATTGTGTGTTACTTCCTGATATGGATTGAATTATGTTCCCCCAAAATATATGTTGTAAATCCTAACCCCTATATCTGTCCCTATATCTGTGGTTGTAATCCCATTTGAGAATGGGTTTTCATTGTTATGTTAATGAGACAGGATTAGTATAGGGTGTATCTTGAGTCAGTCTCTTTTGAGATATAAAAGACATTAAACAAGGAAGAGAAGCAGAGATGGGGGAAGAGAGATGCCAAGCCACATGAAGATTACCCAAGAGCAAAAGCTCAGAAGAGACAAGGACCTTCCTCCAGAGCTGACAGAGAAAGCCTTCCCCTAGAGCTGGCATCCTGAATTCAGACTTCTAGCCTCCTAAACTGTGAGAAAATAAATTTCCGTTTGTTAAAGCCACCTACTTGTGGTATTTCTGTTATAACAGTACTAGATAACCAAGACACCCTCCTAATAAACCATATAACTGTAAGTATAGTTCATGAGTTCTGTGAGATGTTGCAGCAAATTACTAAACCCAACAAGAAGAGAAGGAAGAGACAAGAGGGAGAGTGGTTGATGTCAGAGATGATGGAGTGGTACAGCAGCCTGGAGAAGGTGGCAATCTGGGACATGTTTAATCTCTGCCTCATAGGAACCAGCTTTATGCTGATTCTTATTAATGAAATAACACACAGAGTTTTAAAGTACCTAATAGTAAAAGTCTAGGTTGCCTTAAAGAGACTGTTGGTGGAATTATGGATATCAAAGACAATTCTGGTGTGGACTGAGAAGGAGTGAGGAGAGCTGTTACATTGGAGATGGCGCAGAAGCAGAGAAGCAGCAGCAGCATAACCAGGAGACCAGTGCGAGACAGTGCTGGAGCTCACCCACAGAGCGAGAGAGCTGAGTGCCTTTGCGCAGGTGACTTCCTGGTGGAGTTGGGTGCCTCCAGACACTTATCAGTGAAGTTAGGCTTACCAAGTCACCCATGGAGCAAGAAAGCTGAGTGCCTCCAGGGCTGAAGTTTACTGGCTGAGTAGGGTGCCTCGAGGCACTTATCAGTGGAGCTAAAGAGCTTTGGAACACTTGCCCCAGCAGGGTAGATGCAGGCAGAGAGTCCCGAGGGACCAAGGAACCAGGAAGCAGAAGCTGAAGAGACAAGGAGCACAGGAAGCAGAGCTGCTTCAGTCTCAAAGGGTAGGGCCATGACCTTTGGGGTCTCAAAGGGTGGTGTCATCACTCAGATGGACTAGGAGAATTGGGACCTTATATCACCAAGAAAACAGTGCCAGGAAGAGAGTGCATGGTTTGGACCCAGGGTTTCTGCGCTGAGATGCTCCTAGACCAGGGGAAGATTGACGACAAGGACCTTCCCTTGGAACCAACAGACAGAGAAAGGCTTCACCTTGCTTTGGCACCCTGAATTTGGACTTCTAGCCCCCTAGACTGTGAGAAAATAGATTTCTCTTTGTTAAAGCCACCCACTTGTGGTATTTCTGTTATAGCAGCACTAGATGACTAAGACAGTCATCATATTGGTGGTGGCAGTGTTGGTGTTGCTATTCTGAGACGGCTGTGTGTGTGTGATTTTAATTCTGCCATTTCTATGATTCTTAAGAATTCAGTTTCTTGGTGTGTGAGAGGAAGAAGATAGAAAAGTAGAGGAGGTTAAGTTATAAACTCTGTATCTCTGAGTTTAATTGGAAATATCAGAATGAAGCCACAGTGCATTTTATCTTAACAAACAAGCAAACAACTTTTCTAGCTCTGTCTACTAAAAGGACTAACAGCAATGATAAGTCCATTAGCACAAAGCACCCACTAGCACTGAAATTGTGGTCTTAAAGTAGCAAAAGGAACCAGGGCTCCTTGGAGAAATGGCTGATTCCAGGTCTGTTAGTAGGAAATATATCAAATAAACTTGGAGCAGCTTACCATACAGAGAACAAGGAAGTTATCACTATTATGAGGGTCAATGCCAGTAGAACTCAGGAACAAGTTGACAGGTCTCCCACTGACTGGTTAAAGATGAGATAATATAACATCAATAAGGGTATTAATTGCAGTAGATTGAAACACCTAATGATACTAAAAATAGTAATGGATTGGTCACCATTGGTAAGATACTAGTGAAGCAGCTGATTTTGATAAATAAAAGGATCTCACATTTTCTTACCTTTTCCTCTGCAAACTTTAGGATAATCATAGAATGGGTGAGGGGAAGTTTTGTTTATACAAATACTCTAGCTAATAAGTAAGAAGGAATAATAGAGTATCACATTTTGCAATCCTAATTAATGGATCTAGGTATTGAGCATCAAGAGCTTCTGACATAATGAAAATGAGATACAGCCGGACACTATGTGCCTTCTGAAGGAAATACACACCACTACTGATGTTGGCCAAGGTCAAGCCAACAAAATCAACCCTGAATCTGATCCTGCCTCTATATGCAATGACTGTTTTATCACTTATCTAGGAGAGAGGCACATGTTAACCTACACCACAGGGATGTAATCCAGACTGTGGGCCACTGTACAGGATAAATGACCTACTTTCTTCCATACATAAATTTCAAGGGAAAAAAAAAAGTTGGAGAAAACCTATTAATTAAAAGATGTTTAAGAGTCATGTCAGCTTATTGCCACATGTGGATCTTATTTGGATCCTAATACAAACCATAGAAAACAATATGACATTTATGAGACAGTTGGAAATTTGATCACTTACTGGATATTAGAAAATAGTAAGAAAGTATTAATTTTATATTCCGGTGTTATAGAAGCATATTTTGAAAAAGAGTTTCTGTATTTTGGGGATATGTATTGGAATATTTATGGATTAAATGATGTAATGTTTGGGATTTGCTTCAAAATAATATAATGGGAGAGGGGGTGGGATTATAGCTGAAACAGGATTGGATTGAGTTGCTTGGCACATGAGGTTCACTATTCTGTCTTCTGTATATGTTTAAAGTTTTCCTTGATAAAAAACAAAAAAATAAAAAATAAAACAAAATTATAGACTCTTGTGGCACATCCCCTCACTAAGCTCACTCGATAGTGTTTCTTCTCTGAATTCTCAGGGCAGTTATTTCTACTTTTTATTCATCAGATAAGTATTTTTGAGCAGCCTTTGTCAGAACTATGTAGGCAAGGAGAGGGACTTAAAATAAATGAAAGAAGGTGCTTGCTAACCAGAAGTTTATCTGTTTGGAAGACCACACACATGTGCACAAAACAGCGCTAAACCACAGGAGAGCAATGCATCTGATACTGAGTGGCTGACCCAGGAAGCAAGCTGTCTGGTGGTGGAACCGCCTTCCCCACGCCCAGGGGTTAGCATCTCCATTACCTCTGTGTTTTCCAGGTGTAAAAGTTCTTTTTGAAACTAGACTGGAAGGGCCTATAAAACAGAGATCAGTCGTCTGGACTGAGTTGACCATTCCTTGATTAATAGGAGGCATTAAAAAAATAGATCACATGGCTATTACAGAAAATTTTGAAATGGAGCAATAATCACTTATTAGCTAGTGCTAACATTTTTATTTTATTTTAGTTTGAAACCAATGAAGATCATTCCTTAATGCTACAGTTTTAGGATATGTATTAAAAATCTTGTACATTGCCAATTTGGAAAATGTTCTCAGTTTATTATTCATAAATTTATGTTTTCTAACTGCCTTATCTACATATGTGCATAATATTTAGTTAAGGTTCTGAATTATTTTTATAAACACTGTCTCGCCTATCCAGTTTTTTTCCCAATGCCTTTGCCAGACAGTAAATTCTCTGCTATATTAATGTTAGTGATTAGCCCGAGTGGTTTCTTGAGAGCTCGTTCTCACTTTTTCACCATGAAGTCATGTGTGAATCTAGTTTTAAAGTAATAAACATTTGTTACATGCTCGGAAAAACTTTCTGACGAGACATGAGCTCATCTAAATGTTCACTTTTCACATATGCTGGTGGAAAAGGATATGGAGGGAGAGACAATTATTTTTTATTTCCTTTTTACATAGGAGTGTAAAGTAGTTTTCCAAAAAGTCATGATATTGTCCCATTTCTCTTTTTTCCAAAGCCATGATTATCTTAAATGTCTGAGCTAACACAGCTGTCTTTCATTACCCCCTCCCCCAAGTACCCCCTGAGAACATACACAGCCCTTACTTGGTTCAAAGGGAGCCTGTGCCCTGCCTGCCCACATTTCGCTCAAGTTCCCCATCCATATAATTGGAAAATGCCATAAAATCAAAATAAGGGGCTGATTCATGTAGGGACAAGGAGAGTGATGCCAGTGTGCCTAAATTATTTCTTCTCTTTTGGAGATAAACCATGGCTGCTGGCTTCTCCTGTAATAAATAATAACCTTTCATTATTCCATTAAGCTTTCTACTATTTACATCATTGAAGTTTTTTATTTTTGCTTTGTTGTTATAATTTAAGATGAATGTTCCAGGCTTATTCTGGATGTGTTTGAGACAAGGGCACTGTCCAGTTGAAGAAATCTCCTGAAACAGCGGTGAAGAAAAATCCCTGTTCCTAGAACTCCACAGAACTTGGTACTACAGAAAGATTACTGGGCTTGGGGTCACAAGGCCTGGCCCAATGTAGTTATGTGATCTTGGCCAAATTTTTTTGCCATTCTTGAGTCTTGGTGTCTTTATCTGTAAAGAGAAGGTAGGATTAGATTAGTGGTTCTCAAACTGGCTGCCCTTTGGAATTACCTGGGAATTTTAGTAACAAAACCTGTGACATTCTGATTCAGTCAATCTGGTGGGTGCGGGGGAGGGCGGGGGGAGCCCTGTCTCTTATTTGTTTTAAATGCTCTCCAGGGATTCTAATATGCAGGAGGCAGGGCTGAGAACCACCTGAGCCCCTCAGAACCACTTGGAGAGTTTATAAGATGCAGATCTCAGATCTCAGTGGCCTGGCACTGTAGAGTTTTCCTATTCATTAGGTTTGGAGTGAGGCTGGAAAATTTGCATTTCTGACAAATTCCCAGGTGATGCTGACGCTGCCCATCTTGAGACCTCACGAGACCTCACTTTGAGGACCGTGGGATTAGGTAACTGCTGAGGTTCCTTCCCTGTCCTGCCTTCTGTGACCAGGTCTGTCACCCCACAGAGGCAGCTCTTTAAGGAACAGTGTGGCTGTGCCAGGCGAAGGGCTCACCCTGCGCTCTGCCTCATCACTTGTTCTGAAAGCAGCAGCATTTGGGATGTTGAAGAGACTGCTTGCTTATGTCCTCAGAGATATTTGTACAGCTCTTTTAACCAGCATTTTTGCCAGTTGTGGGTGAATCCATTCCAACTCATAGTGACCCCATATATGTCAGAGTAAAACTGTGCTCCGTAGGCTTTTCACTGGCTCATTTTTCAGAAGTAGATCACCAGATCTTTCTTCCGAGGTGCCTCTGGGTGGATGCGAACCTCTAACCGTTTGGTTAGCATCCGAGGGCATTAATGGTAACCAGCCCTTAAGGACATCTTTTAGGACACTCGAATGGCTTTAAATCCTTCACTTGATGGTCTGTTTTGCGATCAAATATTTCCTGTAGTTAAAACCCAGCAAGATTCACGTGGTCAGTCCATAGGGACCGATGAGGGTGGGGAGCCTAATAATTTCCGAAGAATGAAAAACAAAGCACTATAAATATTCCTAACCACAGGGGATTCATTTGCCTTATCTTTATTAGATTGCCCAGGAGGCAATAATTTGGTTTTTGGTGAACAACAATGTGAAGACTAGCTGTAAGATTTCTCTGGCAACAGTTAGGATGCCTCGTTTGCATACCGCAGAACAATCATTAGGGGTAGAGTTCTAGCTTCACAGGTTGTATGCACACAGCTTAAACAACAGCCTGGATGGAGAGGGACAGGGACAGTATTTGAAGTCTTTTTTTTTTTTTTTCCTTTCCCACCAGGATGACAAGGATTTGGTGCATGAATTCGTAATGGCTGAAGGTCTGACGTGTTTGATTAAAGTGGGAGCTGAGGCCGATCAGAACTATCAGAACTACATCTTGAGGGGTAAGTCATGACTCAGGGGGCATGCCTTCGCCAGCCTCTGGAAGGGAGGTCTTGTTCACCTTCAGGGATTTGAATACTGAGAGTTTTTTTAAAAAGACTTGGATTTAGGAGTAAGGTGGTAAAGATACTCTGTAGCAAAAGACATATTCATTAGGTTTTGTCAGTTGCTAGTAATTAATGAGTGACAGCTAGTTTTATTGACTTTCACCTGGAATCTCTTCCGGGTTATTAAGAAAAAGAGCCTACTAACTTGGTTCTTTAGAGTTTCTCTTACTTGGTGAGGAAAGGGACACAATAAGTGGGCTTGGATGGGGCTTGCATTTTAGCAGTTGTTGCTAGCTGCGATTGAGTTGGCCCCTACTCATGGCAACCCCATGCACAACGGAATGGAATGCTGCCCCACTCCTGAGCCATTCCTGTGATCAGTTCTAGATCAGACCATTGTGATCCATGGGGTTTTTATTGGCTGATTTTCAGAAGTAGATTGCCAGGCCTTTCTTCCTAGCCCATTTCAGTCTGGAAGCAGTGCTGAAACCTGTTCAGCATCATAGCAACACATAAGCCTCCACTGACAGACGGGTGATGGCTGCATATGAGGTGCACTGGCCAGGAATTGAACCCTGGTCTCCTGCATGGAAAGTGAGAATTCCAGTACTGAACCACCATTGCCTCCATATTTCAGCAGTATAGCTACCCAAAACCAAAGAGACCATGAGAAAAAAATAAAGTATTTCCTTTAACTTGAGTTTGCCACCATGGGGCGCTTGTCAGAAGTGCATGTTCCTTTTGTTTCTAACACCTAGAGTAGTGGAAGGCACAGAAATAAGGGTAGGGGAACTTCATCTAGTTTATTTTCCTGATCGTTTAGAATATGGACATTCATAAGTTGAACCACATAGAAGGAAAATACCTAAAACTGCCTAATTCTGAATAATGAATCCAAACTAACAATGTATTTTTTTGTTAATGTTCAAATACATCATGTAACTTTACAAAAAAATCCCCAACATACACACACATACACACACACACACACCCTTAAGAACTAAAATCATTGTAACTATATCTTTGTGTTAGTTTTTCTGACCCTTACCTAGGAGCATCTATGTGTTTTCATAGAGTGTCCATCAGTGTAAGCATCTTCATTCAATGCTGGGGAGGGGGGGCAACTGTGCCAGATGTGGTCAGCAACCTTTTATCAAAAGAGCAAAACAGTCCTAGTCATCTAGTGCTGCTATAACAGAAATACCACAAGTGGATGGCTTTAGCAAAGAGAAGTTTATTCTCTCACAGTCTAGTAAGCTACAAGTCCAAATTCAGGGCGTCAGCTCCAGGGGAACACTTTCTCTGTTGGCTCTGGAGGAAGGTCCATGTCATCAATCTTCCTTTGGTCTGGGAGCTTCTCTGCGCAGGAACCTCAGGTCCAAACTGCTTTCTTGGTGTATGAGGTTCCTCTGTGTCTCTGCTTGCTTCCTTCTTTTATATCTCAAAAGAGATTGGCTTAAGACACTTATCTAATCTTGTATACCTCATCAGTATAACTGCCGCTAATCCATCGTATTAGATCATAGTGATTGAATGTACAACACATAAGGAAATCACATCAGATTCCAAAATGGTACACAATTATACAATACTGGGAATCATGACCCAGCCAAGCTGACAGATATTTTGGGGGGACACAATTCAATCCATGACAAAAACTTTGTCAGAAGCACCCAGCAGACCTCTCACTGGGTCTCATGACCACCTGTAGCTGCAGAGAAGGCTGGGAGAGTATTTGGCTTCCTGAACCCTACATGGTAGGCAGCGAGAGAGAAAGGCATGACTTTGGGCCTGGGATATTTATCAGTGTCTGCTACACAGAGAGAGTTAGAAAGAACTTTCAATACAGAAAAAGAAGGACCTTTCTAGTTGAGCAGCAGTGCGGTGGCCTGTTTGGGAATAGTGAGTGCCTCACTGCTAACCGCTGAATGCTACTAAGGGAATTGCTGTACAGGGGGCAGATTAAGCTTGATGGCTGCACAAGTTCCCAAATGATGCATTATGTGAATTGTACCTCCTGCCAATGAAAGAGGGTGTTGGCGTAGCATACTTCAGCTAGGCTGTCTACCTTAGTGAATGCTTTTTGTTAAGTTCGCAGTGGCCTGTTAATTCACAGCATACTCATCTGCATCAGAAAGGTGCCAAAGGCAATTACCAAATATTTAAGAATCAGAGGGCCCAAGCATGATCAGGGACAGCCCTGTCAACCACCTGCTGCTTCTCTGTCCTTGCAGAAAACACTGCCCAGATAAGGCCCTCACTTCAGACAGCTCTTCTCAAAATGCAGGGAGGCCTCACGTTTCCATGTCATCACCAGGGCCTTGCCTTCATAGTTCTGCTTTTCAAATAGTGCCCATTCACTGGAGACCAGGAAGCTCACCATGTGTTGTCTGGAAAAACGAGCAGGCACTCACTCCCGTTCAGGTTTCTCCAAGATGCCCTGCTTTCCACGGAGCAGAGATGCTCTTGCATGCCTGCCCCACATCCGCCAAGTCTTAGGAGGCTGTCAGTAATCAGGGCACTGTATGCAAACGTCAGCACATCTGAGCAGAACCTGGGCCAGGAAAGTACATTCTGAGGGATATAGATGACAGATTTCCTGGTGTGTGACTTTTGTGTTTTTATACAAGGAAAGCGTCATTTTTCCTAGCCCACAGGTTGTTCCCCTTTGTGACTGTGAAGAGCTTCTCACATCAGCTTTTTCAGGTTGCAATCGGCAGACAGCAGCCTCTTGACGTGTGCAATCAAGTGAATGCCTCTGAGTCGCCTCTTTATTTGTCCCACCGTGAGGTGGGCTGATGGTCAGAGTGGTCTGGAAAAGTTGCCCATCATAAAGTTAACTCAGATGTTGTAATCTTGTGTGAGTTCCATACACCCAGAGAAAACAAGAACATTTGGAGAAGCCAGCATGTGCTTTTAGAGTGCTTTTAATTTATCTTTATTTTTGCACTCAGCCCTCTGTCAGCTCTCTTTTTTAAGGCCCAGGGATCTGCTGCTTTTCCTTTAGGATGTATCTGCTGGGAGGTAAAGATAGGTTTTGAGTTTCAGTGTAGCCAAGTGTGCTCCAAAATGTGAGTCTGCTGCTGGGAAGAGGTCTTAAATGCACAACATGTAAAAATAATATTTATCTGACTTATTATTCTTGGATGGTTATACCTAATCTAAAATTTTCCGTGATAGCCAGTATTTAATGTAAATCTACTGTGGAATTTTCTACCTCACAATTATTCTTATTGAAGTAGGACCTAGAGTAGTATACTCCTGGGAACTTGAACTTTGCACACACATCACTGAGCCTTTGCTGTGTGCACTGCCCCAGGTCGGGCACTGGGGATGCAGCAGTGGAACCGAGGTCCAACCTTGCCCTTGACAAGCTCCTGTGAGGTACTGGGCGTGGCACATTGGAAATGTTGTGTTGCATATGACTTATAGGGTTAGAGCTTGTATATAGATGATAATGAGGCAGTGGTGTTTCAGTGGTAGAATTCTCATCTTCCATGCAGGAGACCTGGGTTTGATTCCCAGCTAGTGTACTTCATATGCAGCCACAACCCATCTGTCAGTGGGGGCTTGTGTGTTGCTATGATGTGGAAATGTTTCAGCGGAGCTTTCAGACTAAGACTAGGAAGAAAGGCCTGGTGATCTATATCTGAAAATCAGCCAGTGAAAACCCCTTGGATCGCAATGGTCTGATCTGGAACTGATTATGGGGATGGCACAGGAACAGGCAGCATTTCATTCCATTGTACACGGGGTTGCCATGAATCAGGGTCTGGTTCAATGGTAGCTAACAACAATGACAACATAGAGAAAATATGCTTCTGGGGAGAAAAAAGAAAGAGATGAGTAGAAACAGTAATATCATTTATTCTTTCAGGCTGTACATCAAGGGAAGCTGCATTTTAAGGACTAGTTTTACGTGGAGAAATTTGACTTGATTATTTCACCTCAAGTGAAAGTACCAATTGATTGTAAAACATCTCAGTCTATCTCAGAGTTTTTAAAGCTGGGTGAGATCTTAGAATGCATTTTGCTCAACATTTTCATTTTAGAAGAAAACTGCAGATATTTTGCTTGCCCACACAATATGTTTTCAAACAATTTTTAAATGATTGCGGTCACGGATTGAATTATGTCCGCCAGAAAATGTGTGTATCAATTTGGCTGGGTCATGATTCCCAGTATTGTGTGGTTGTCCTCCATTTTGTGATTGTAATTTTATGTTCAAGAAGATTACGGTGGGATTGTTAACACCCTTACTAAAGACATCCCTGATCCAGTGTAAAGGGAGTTTCCCTGGGGTGTGGCCTGCACCACTTTTTATCTTACAAGAGATGAAAGGAAGCAAGCAGAGAGTTGGGGACCTCAGGCCACCATGAAAGCAGAGCTGGGACCAGAGTGCGCGTCCTTTGGACCCGAGCTTCCTGCGCAGAGAAGCTCTTAGTCCAGGGGGAGATTGATGAGAAGGTCGACAGAGAGAGAAAGCCTTCCCCTGGAGCTGACGCCCTAAATTTAGACTTCTAGCCTAATTAGACTATGAGAGAATAAACTTCTCTTTGTTAAAGCCATCCACTTGTGGCATTTCTGTTATAGCAGCACTAGATAACTAAGACAGTTGTAAACGTTTAAAAATTGGGAGATTTTATATTAAAAAATCCAGATTTCACACTTATTCAGAAAAAACCAGGAGCAGAGAATTTTAGTGTCTTGCCAAATATTAATCAACAATATTAACACTATAGGGGAAAAAAATACTACATATATCAGGGGATCTCTTAATGAGGATCAGGACTTCCGGTCCAGATGGTTTTTGTCTGCATCCACATAACCAGAACTCGAAATATTATGGACAGCAAAGAAAAAATTTTAAAATGTTAGAGAGAGAACAGTGGTACAGAATGATCAAATGGTAATTAAAGCAACATCCTCCATCCCAGAAAAACTTAAAAGTCTGT